GGGCTGGGCAAGGATTTTGACCTGTTTAAAAAAAATATGTAAAAATCCACACCCTAGGGACAATGACAGTTGTCAAAAGTAACAATATTCCCTACCCCAGGGAGTAACACGGGGTGTCAAAATCCCAGCTATAATCTTAGAACACTTTCTGATCACTTTCTGTCTCAACTTCGATAACTTCTTCGGGCATCAAGGGAGAGACCAATTTTCACAAAGCATTAGCAAACAAATAGACATATGAAAATGCATGCTTTCCATTTTTATTATAATACATTTTTTATTATTTTTATATGTGTGGATGGATCAATATCACATGAAATTTGAAGGCATTGGCGTTATAGGCATGTGCATGCGCATGATTTGAAACAAGAATGATTATTAGCAAATTATTGGGGGCTGCCCCCGTACTGATCCTGTGTTTTCTTTCATTCATGTTTTCACACAAAAACGGATAAAAACGAAGTCAATTGACAAACGTCATGGAAATATTTTCCTATATGGACTGTGTGAACAGAGCGTCAAATGAATTTTGCTTCATTGTTATAGATGACGAGATAGTTGATAGATTCCAGACCTTTCACCATTCTTGATCCAAATTCTATAAAATTTATTGGTGATTTTTTCACTGATTATTTTTATGACCCCCTCCATTTATACCAAAACTATAAAAAGACCCACCCCTTTGAAGTATGTCAAAATTGGCTGACCCACCCCCAAATTCCTCCGCCCCCCCCAGCTAAAAAATGAATGCTCCCTAATGCGTTTCACAGTTCGATGAAATCCGTAATTTCTGGGGGGGGGGTTTGTGGAATGGCCTGTGGCGCAACACCATTAATACGAAAATATCAATGTTTCTGATACACCACAGCCAAAGGATTATAAAACAATACTATTTCTATATTTTATATTTAAAAGTTACATACCTTTTGGTTTATGTCTTCCAAGACTCTCGGCTAACTGCTCTCAACTTCTCCCAGTACAAGGAAATGTATCAGTGGTATCATCACATTTCAGAGAAAGTACTCAAAGTAGACACAGTGTTGATTTCCGTTTAATGACATGGGCCCAAGCACCCCCGCGCGCTCGCTCGATCAGCACAACCACTGATCTAAATATATGGGTACGAGCTGGTCTTGGGGGTGCTCAAACGGGTTTCCCGTAGTTTACGTACATAAATATTGATGCTTAAGATATAACGCCAGCAATGCTTTTGAAATAAATCTTTTAAAATAACTAAATATGAATCAATATACTAATTTTAATTAAAACATATTAACTCTCAACGTATGTTGTTTACAGCAGTTTCACGAGATTCGCGACCCCCCAACACAAACGTTCGCTGAACGGTAATGTTTGTTTTTGACATAAGGGCGTGGCTACCAACTGGTATTTTATATTAAATATAAAATATTAGTTGGTAGCCACGCCCTTATGTCAAAAACAAACATTACAGTTCAGCGAACGTTTGTGTTGGGGGTCGCGAATCTTGTGAAACTGCTGTAATTTGCTTGTACTAAGGCCTCTTTCATTCGGCTGTATCGACTGCGCATCCAATGATACTGGTCGTGTCTGAATTGAACTGAGTTAAATCATATTATCATAACGTGTAGCTGAGATTGGAAAAAAACTGTTCAATCATCCTATATTTGTGTTTCATTTTTAGCTACAAATGAGGAAATGAAATGAGAACTTTTTCAGTTAGTCTCAGCTGCATGTTATGATTCCAGGCTTCGTCCACACAAATCATTTTCGTAGAGTTTTCCTATTAGTGAGCTTAAGGTGGCTCCCTAGGGTTTTTCCATTATATTGCACAACACTAGACTTCTGTTTCCTCGTCTGTTTCTTCAAATTTGTCTTCTTCCTGCCATAATAACTCCCTGCAGCCCTGCTCGCAACGGCCCACTGGGCCCAGACCACAAACTGATACAAACACAGTTTTTAATCCAGTCCCCCCCCCGACAATCTAACGTCCGTGTTGACAAAAACGTCACCTGGTTAAGCTCGCTATTGTTCTCCGTTCACACGCAAGGGAATAGAGAATAATGGTCTAATTAGCTGAAATGCGAAAACGGATTAGTGTGGACGTAGCTTCAACTGCAATAGAGAGTTTGAGCAAGACAACGAAGTCGGACGACGTGGTTGACAATTTTTGCCTGTCTTGCACATTATCTTGCGCATTCTGAGTTTAGGGTCAGGAGTGAAGACAGATTAGAGATTCATGTCTAGCTATTTGTGAATGCTGACCCAAATACTTACCCTGATCAGGATAAAACAGCGAGACATGAATCCATATCCCGTCTTCGTCTTCTGCCTTCGTTCACAACGAATATTTTGGCGAAATTCGTTGTGAACTTCGTTCTGCACGAAGGCAGAAGGACAAAGACGGGATATAGTTTCATGTCTCGCTGTTTTTTTCTGGATCAGGGTAAGAATTATGGTCAGTATTCATAAACAGCGACACATGGGAAGACACGTTGTGCAACCACCAGTGACGTCCAACTCAGTATGCGCAAGATAATGTACAGACGGCAAAAATTGTCAAGTATGTTTTCGTCTTCGTACTTCGTTGTCTTGCTCAAACTCTCTAATTTAAGCCCGACGCAGAACGCGTCGTTTGAACACGCAACTTGGATGTAGTATTGTGTACCCTCCCTTGCTAACAACAAAGTAATATATCACCGCGCAATAGCTTGATTTTTGTTAGGAGGCTTTAATGAACCTAAAATTCCAGTTAATAACAATGTGCAGCAGTGCAGGCAATTAATGCAACAGCTAGAATGTGCGGGTTAAATTTACAGCGTTTTGCGTCATTGCGTGCACTGTCATACAGGGGGTTACAGGGGGCGGTTGTTCAAATCACGATTAGCGCTAACCCTGGGTTAAAATTAAACCCATTGTTCTGGTTTATGTATTACTGCATGTCTGTTTATTTCAGAATAGTAGAAAATTAAACTTCTGACGATCCAGACAAGATTTCTGAAAAAAATGCTTCCACGTTTTTATTAAAAAGCTGCTGGGAAGTTTGCATTGGATTTTACATTCAAAAACCCCAGGATTGGGCTAATCAGCTTTTGAACAACCAGCACCTGGTGTACCACATCAGCATGCTACCATCTTGTTGACTAACATGAAGAACAAATTTATAAAAGCGCCAAAACTAAAACTCGAACAAACCATCTCAGACACTTGTATAAATAACAGTAAAAGCTTAAAGTCTATTTTCCATTCCAAACGTATCGCAACCAAATATAGCGCATTTCTTTGTTTTGGGACCACTAAACTCTACAGCGGATTTTCGCAAAAAATGTCATGTCATCGACACAAAATATAATACGCTAGGCTTCGATACGGTTAAAGTGGAAAATATTGGCTAACGTAAACATATTAACAACAGGCAGAAGATTTGAAATCATCTCGCATTACCGCACGACGTATAAACAGTAGACATGCATCAGAACTCTTCTTCCATAAATTTTCTTTCCATTTCTTCAAAGTCGTCCATAATACTTTCTCGAAAAGATCTTTCCAGAGTACAAGGAGTGGACAGACCTGAGCCACCATCTTTATCTTCTATACTATCATCATCACTAAAAATAAAAATATTTGAATGATTTCAAAAATACAACTACATGTAGAACTTTTCTTGCTATCACCATAAACAACGATATGGTGACTTGACTCATCGTATCACATTTTATGCCAAGTGAGAGCAAGCCTGAGACGGATATAAAAGCTTATAGTAAAACAATGTCGCGCACAGCAAATTTACCGAAAACGTGCAAGTTCATGCCGACCAGCAACGCGTGAGCCCGACATCGCCTTCAAATTCAATTTAAAGGGATATGGCAACATATTTTTTTATTATTTCATTTGGAAGAACTTTTTTCTCCTTTACCGATTTTGCGTAACTTTATTATTTCTTGAGATATTTTGACAGCAAAAATCACAAATCAGCGAGCATTCCGTCATCTTGGATTTTGGCGGATGTTACGTCATAAGCAGGTCACGCAAATATTACATCCAGAGAGCAATTGGTTATTATGAGCCCAAAATTATACTTCGGTAACTATTTAAAATAAGAAAGTGACTGACAACATTTCAAACAAGACTTACTGTTATTTGGCCATTTAATTAGATGTAGTTTTATATGGCTAACCCTGCTTTTGACGTCACTAAAATCGCCGATAATGATATAAAAATTTAACCAAGATGGCGGACAGCCAATTACTTTAAGTGAAAATATTTCAAAAACGAAGCAAGATGCGAATAAACGGTAAAGGAGATTTGCATATAATTTTAAAAGTTCTTTCAAATGAAATAATATATATATATATATTGCCGTAACCCTTTAACGCTAACGAACTGAACAGCTAAGCACAGATCTGTCAGCTAAGGTACACACCTGTCTAAATGAAAATCTTCCTCACATCGTGTTAGTCTCCCTGTTGAAGATGCTAGTTCCCAGGCTAAATCGTTTAATGTTGCAAGGTCATCATCATCTTGGTCCCCTGTGCCGAAATCATCGAGTGCTTTCAATTCCAATAATTCCTCTTCTTCATTGCTAGAATTATTTTTCGTATTATCTTTGGATTCTCCCCTTTGAGGTACTTCTAATTCTTCGAATTTATTGCCAGTCAACTGGAGATCGTCTATAGTGAAATTGAAATAATAATGAGATTTACTGCACTAACTCGCGCTGTCGTTAGCATGGTGTCGAGTGCACTTTCGAGAAAAGGAATACGAGTCAGTTTTCCAAGACTATCAAAATTGACGTCTTCAAAAACGTGTCTAAATAACATGAAAAACGTGGAACAACGCTTTCTGAACAACGTTTTCTTCCACGAAAATTATAAGAGTCCTAAATTAATAAATTTTGCACAAAAATGTTTTTGGCAACAACGTCGTCATTGGTATTTTCACATCACCTTTACCTCAGACCAAATTAACGGTAATTTGCGATTACGGACAATTATTATCGGACTTCACAGCTTATAAGGCCATGTTACACAACTACTTGATAATGACAGATGACATGCATGCTCTATGTCAGAAATTGCTTTGTAGGTTGGCAAAACTTGCCTCATGTAAAACAGTCTTTATCGAACATTCATGCAAAGCCAGTACATTATTTTTACTGGAGCATCTGCATGAAGAATGGCGATATGCAGTCAATGCATGCATGAACAAAAATTATAAACAGTCAAATTATAAAGACAGATGGGTTATTACCTTCATCAGAATATCTCTCTTTGGAAGCAGCAGATGTTTGGTAATGTTGTTCCTCAAGTGTTGATGTCTCCATACCAGAAGAGATATCCACGGAATCAGGAGTTGATATCTGTGGATAGCTTTCGATTGGATTCCATGTAGATGATAAAGAACCGCGGCCAAGATTTGTGATTGGAGTTGAAGACGATCTCTCGCTATGTACTTCTTCATTTCGTTGTAAATTTTCACTATCGTCATCTACACCAGCAAGGAAAAATGAAGATAACTCCTTATGAGTTGGTTTAGGTTTCCATGCTTCGCGAATTGGAATCTGTGTTTTGTTCTTAGTGGGACCTTTGTTAGATGGTGGTCTTGGACTTAGATTGTTTGTGATTGATTTCGTTTCTTCTTTACCGTTCTTCAATGGTAATTGTTTACTTGACTTGTTGGACTGATGAACTGGCGATGATTCATTTATAACCTGGTGTAATGGTAACTCTTTACCATGTTGACCTTTCTTTGATGAGAGTTTTGGACTTCGTTGTTCATTATTTACAAGCATTTTACGTTGCTCATCTCTCCGTGGTGTTTTCTTACGTCCAGCAGACATAGTCCTTACTGCCTGTTTCTTTGCATTAACCTTCTCAGTTGGTTTTAAAAAGAAAGGTTTTGATGTTATTGCCGGTGACACATAATTATGAGTATCTAAAGTACTAGTAGCCTGCTCTAAATCCTTTTCAGAATCTTTAGATGTATACATTTCACATATAGTAACTGCTCCATGTCTAGATATTGGTCTGGTGTGAGCACTTTCCTCTTCCTCACATTCCTCTACAATACACGCAGTCCCCTCATCAATATGTGTGTTCACCTCCACAGGCGAGATCTCCTGAACAGATATAGCACGTCGGGATGGCATGTTCTTCTCTTGGTATAAACCTGAAATATCTGGGTTGGATTTTACAGTAGTTATATTTTGAATCATTTCTCTATAATTTGGAGCGAAGTGGTCAACTGGTTCATTATTTTCTTTTCCCTCGGCTTCAACAGCTGACCTTCCATCATCCTTAACCATTTCGTTTTTGTTAGCTGCCCTTTCTCCTTTCTTGTCACTCTCATTTACTTTGCCTGGTAATGTTACGGATGCTATGTTGTTTTCGCGATTTTTCTTCAAATACAAACGATCACCGTATGAGATCGAAGAATTAAACTTAATTGTCAACTCTTTCTTGTCATCTTGATGCGTTATTGATTCATTGGAAGTTCCACAAGATGTATCTGAAACGCAAATTATGGTTACAAGTTAAACTTTCGGGATCGAGATGTGCCGGATCATAGACAATCCAGAAGACAAATGAATGTCTTCTGGATTGTCTATATGGCCGTATCCACATACCGGTATCCGATAAAATATTGACATCCAGCAGTTCAGGGAAAATTTTGCTGGATATTTATCGGATAGTACTGGAACTTTTACTAAAACCATAATACTGAAAAAGAAATGTATCCTTGACTGTCTATTTTGTGTGTTAAATTGTGAAATAGGAACAATCACTGGGCATGCGGAGAATATCTTCGTGATCTAAACTGCTCTATGCTATATATAGGCCACCTATGTAAATGCTTATTGTATAGATGTGGGGTCGACATGGCAGACTTGGAGGAGGGGACTGTCTAATTACTTTAAGGTTAATTCTGTTCAACCTTTGAAAGTTTCAATGCTGCATGT